TCGCGACAGTTAAATACAATCCGCCCTTAGGTACAATTATGGATATGTGAACGCAACGCTCAAATGATTCGTGCCGCTCGACCAGCGACTGTCACAATGAAGCACAGCAAGAATTATCCGAGCGACACGCGTCTCAGCCAGACGACTACACGGTGTGCCGCCGGTATCTACGTTTCGCATGGAACAGTGATTCTTAACCTATAGGTGCGAGAAAGCAAGAGATGTTTCAAGATTTTCGAGTAAAATGAAAACAAAAGCGAGAAATCTGAGTGATGTCTTACGTGTGGCTCTCTCGGAAAGGAGCCTCGCTTCAAAAGTATTGAAAATAAACTACAACGTAGCCATCGAAAACTGAGATATTAATGCAATAAATAAATAAATTATCTCGCGATAGATGTAACTTCCTCAACAAAGAAATGGAAACACATTTTTCAATGGGGTGCGATCGCTAAGAAGGTTAACCAGTTAGCTATTGCGACCTTTGAAAGTGCCTAAAATGTGTTGCAAGAAGTAACTAACCTACTCCTAGACGAGTATACTCACCAAAACACGAAACCTTGCTATTCCTTCTTGTCGGGTATACTCGTCGAAAACAGTGAACCGGTTAAGAACAACCGTAGAACGTTTCGTCTCGCGCGAAACGTAGACACGGCGAACCGCTGTCGCCGAGCCGCGTACGCAAACGTTACAAGATAACGTTTCCAACGCAATCGTTATTTCATCTAACAGCGTCAACGTGGTTAAAAGGATCTCAACAAGGGCCGGGGGAAAGGAAAAAAACGCGGTTCAATTCGAGAGGAGCGCGCGAGACCGTGAACGCCGCCTAATCCTCGCGTCGACGCGTGAACGATCGGTCGGAAAAATGCGCCCGTGCACAACTACGTTATTCCTTTTTTTTCCTCGGTTCTCCGTTTTTTTTTCGCTCGGGAAAGGAACAGGAACAGAAACACAGAGACAAGAAGAAGAAGAAAGAACGAAAAAATGGCAAACCCCTCTCGCCCTCCGTCTTCGGCGAGAATATTTTAATCTGTCTACCGTTTCTCGCCGTCGTCGCATGGTTCTCTTCCCTCTTCTCTTCTTTGTTCTTTTTTCGAACGTTTCCCTTGTTTTCTTTTCTCTCTCTCTCTCTCTCTCTTTTTTGTGTAATTTTTCAGCTTTTTCTAATCTCGTCTCTTTTTCTGTTCTCATCGTGGCCGTGCTCCGTTGCGGAAAGGCTTCGGGAGGAAATCGGGCGTCCTCGCCGTGAGATTACGTTTCCGCGGGATAGATAACGATCGATACAAGCGACAATCGAAAATAGTTTTGCACGAAGAAGCCGCGTCTATGAGTTTATAAAATTCTTTTTTTTCTGCAAGACAATAAAACCGCTGCCCCCGTGTGTTTCGGTATAATCAAGGAAGACATTGTGATTGTTCGTTCTTTAATATATTAATATATATATTTATATAATATATATGT